TAGGTTCAAATGCTCCAAAGCAAAAACAACTCTCCTTCTATATACTCATACGTTTTCATTCGTATCCAGCCCATGATTAAAAGGGTAGCTTCTAGCTCTTAAATATGATTATAGATTTTAACGTTAATAGTCTTCAAGAAAAATGTTTGGTTATTAATAGAAGTCTACAGGGTCTGGCTATATCTTTTTGAGGAAGTTTTGCCTTTTTCTAATAAGATAGCTCTTAGAGTTTGTGAGGAGAAGATGCCTCTTCATAAGGGGAGCCAGCCCAGTTAGGTTTTATTTCCACTTTTGAATGTATATATACTTGCATGTATGTATATACACATTTGGTTATACCAAATAAGAAAAGCGTAAGACAGGTGCAGGATTCTAGAAACATACATGCTTACGCTGATACACACGCAGTGTCTCTCTCATACGTATACTTTCCGCATGTCTCTCAAACGGATGGGAGAATGGATAGTGGCAATAAAATGTTGACCGATTTCAAAAGGGGAATAGGCCAATTCTGTATGATATGGCCCATCAACTGGGAAACAGTAAGATAAAAGCCTGAGAATGTTTATGTCCCTTCATACCCCCCAAATTCTCAATGACATTGGGGAAAAATACTGCATTGCAGCATTTGCCAGCGCACCCTCATATGTCTAGCATCCACTGTCGATGTCACCAACAAATGTACATATTAAGTGTCCAGGCACATAAATAAGTGCTAGGTGGCCACAGATCATTGGGCCCGAGGAAGAAATTTGTCAAGGCCAAAGTACTTCTGTCCATGCACAATGACCTCTATCAAGACCACCATTCCTTACTGGTGGTACACACAGATAATTTATTTAATTTTTAAAATTAAAATAAAGCATTAAGATGCAAAGGACTAATTGAAGCAGCATATCTCCTTATGGGCGGAATAGCATTTAGTCTCCATACAGGAAGAGAATACACCCACAATAAGGAAATAGTGCAAAGGGAAGAAATAAAAACCAAAGAAAAGGACTTGCCGGAGGAAACCCTTTCATTGTTCACAGTAACTCTTAACTGAGAAAAAAACCCTTAATTTACCCTCAAATTCTTTCAGAAATATTGAACACACACACAACACAATGTTCATGCAATGACTTCTAGATTTGAAATTTCAAATAGATTACCCCCAATAGAAATGCTAAGTTTAAAATATCTGAAGTCTAACACGTCCCAAACCCTATTACAAGACTGAATTTAGAAATAAAATGCAAATGCATAGCTAATTTTCTCTCTTTTTCTTTAACAAAATATACTATTGTTATTACCTCACAACAATCTGGCCTTCCTCTCATAACAAAATCCTTGAATATTCAAAGGACCAAAGAAGTGTTATAGAGAAAGAAAAAAGTTTGAAGGTTTTGGAAAACTATCAAACAAAAATAAGCTCATCTATATTTGGCCAGGAGGATGACTTGAATGAATGGCAGTTAGGAATGAATGGGACTGAGATCAGAAATGAACGGTTAAGGTTTGTTAGTTTTTTTTTATTTTAGTTTTGTTTTTAATTAAAATTGCTTTGTGAATCACTAATTCTCAAAGGAATTTTTCAGCTCTTTCCCCACCTACATTCATTTCACCCTTTCAAAATTTAAATATTAAATGACTTAGCTATTATTTACAATGAGATATACGGACATTCTGATCATTAAAACTGTGATGAAAAGGTGTTTTTTGCAGAAACATTTCCAATCAGATTTTCATTTCTCAATAAATGCACACTTGCTGAAGTCAAGGCGCACCTCCACATGCAGGTAGCAGGCATTAATATTTTTAAGACAAAGAAGTGGAAAAGGTCATCAGTAGAACCACGTGTCTTTTTGACAACCCAAGCTTAGGGGACAGTGCCGATAGGCATTGCTTTACCCTAACTAAAAAATGCTGAAAAATTCTCAGAAAAAAAATCTGTATTAGAGATAATAAAAACAATTCTTTTTTTAATAGCGACATGTTCACACACTCAAAATATGAGAGCAAGGTTCAAGTAAATGACAAAAATATTTTTATTTATGTTTATCCCAAGAGTCAAAACAAATTTGAATAAAAAATCTCCCACTAAGAAGATATAACAAAAAGAAGCATTGGCAAGGAGTAAAGAATTGGGGTCGGAGGAGTGTGCGGAAATTTGCAATGGAGAGAGTAAAAAATTAAGAATAATTTCAATAAAGCCAATTATATTTCTTAACCTTTTACTATCTTTCAGTATTTTTTAATCTCTCCTTTTTGGACTTAAAATTAGCTACCTGATCCTGTATCAAGTTTGTCTACGAGGAAGAAATCGTGACAGATCATGGTTTCAGTTGCTTTTACGTTACATCCTATTCGCCTGAGTACTATACCTTTCCGTCCTTCTGGTACCCACCATCACGAGAAAAAGAGACTACTAGTAAAGCACGCTTCAAGAAAAAGCGAGAGATGCCTGTCACCAGCGCACACATGGGTCCCAGACATTCAGAGACACGGAAAAAAAATCAGCTTTTCACTCAGTTTATGCCAAGATCAGAATCGCAACCAAATGCCCAACAGAAGGCAGTGGTTGCAAGGGCAGCTTATGGATCTGTGGCTGGAGATATGAGAGGCACAGCAAAAGGCTAGAATACAGGTTTTCATTTATTATTTTTAAAAGTAAAATGAGAGATACAGTGAACTCCTTGGAACTGTAGTATCAATATCTGATTTAGTCAAAATACCACTCTCACCTAGCACAAAATCATTGTTTAGGGTAAACCTATTCTACCTATGGATGGATATTTGCTGGAAATTTTTAAGAAATCATTTTCAGAACCTATCAGCTGTGGGAGTTTATTATGCTTCCGTCAACTTCATTCAATATAATTTACATTATTTTTCAAATAGCCTCGTAGGATTCCTTGCGATTTTTTGCACGTACAGTTTCACAGCAGGGAAAAGGAGAGAGAGAGAGAGAGAAAGAGAAAGAGAGAGAGTGAGCAAGATTCCCTACCCTCCCTTCCCCCTCTCCTTCTCTCTCTGTTTTTTAAACAAAAAAAGAAGAAGAAGTAAAAACAGGGGAGACAGAACAGATGCTTAAAAATAGATTTCTAAAAATCACTGTAAGCCAAAGTTAGAAATGTAATTAACACCTATTTATAAAGAATAATTAAAGTTGGGCTGGCCACAAAGAACAGCAAAGATAATCAAGGTCCTGTGCCCCCCTCCCTTTTTACACTGTTTGCAGTGTGTTCTCATGATAGCCACCTGCTCCCTACTCGGCTTTTCCTCTGTTCGTTTCCCCGGCAACCTTTCATTGGGTTTTCCTCCCAGCTATCGCTTTCAGTTGGGCTGCTCGGTCTAATCTTATTTGTTTTACACCCATCAAAACAAGCAGCCAGACAAAGGCAATCCTCTAAGAATGGGAAAAAGACCACAGCTTTGTTATAACATCTATGCAGAGCGAAAAGTCCTCCCCAGGCTTTTCTAGTGAGAAATAAGTGAGAGGGATATGAATTTACAGCCTCTCCCCACACCCAGTTTTGAAACCACACGAAAGATACTGCTGGTAAAAATTCAAAGTCAAAGTGAGCACTCGCGGCATCTGATCTTGCCATTTTGTGCCATATCTTCAGGGTCAACATCAGGCGAGGAGTGACACGCAAGGAGTTTCCTTGCTGCTGCTTCTTCCTTTTTTTCCCCTCTCTCTTCAGAAAAAGATGCTAAAAATAGATTTACTACTTTGGCAGAAAGGTTTTCCATTTCCCCTTCCACATCCCAAAGTCCTGTTTCACAATGCATCTGCTGGTACTGACCCTCACCTCCTCTACCCCTCATTCCTAGCCTTCCCCATCACTCCCAGCCGGAGACTGAAAAAGAAATGTGCCTTTAACTTTAACGGTCGTGCACTTCCATTGAAAGCTCACAGAGGCAGTGGACCCGCCAGCCAACAGCGGCCGTGACATTGTGATTGTCAAAAAAGACACCAACCTCGCTTGGCTAAAATGTGTGTTCTGTGGAAGAGGCAGCATGAGTGCCTGGTGTGCATGCAGTGCCATCACACTTGGAGATGGATTCTGGTTTTCGGAAAAGAGAAATACTAATAAATGCACGCGCGCGTACACACACACACACACACACACACACACAATCTGCACAGTGATTTACGATGCACAGTCCTCCATCCTTACACACACACACACACACACACACACGCACGCACACACACACACAATCGGCTGGAATCTCCACACTGCCTTCCTCTTTTCACTTACCATCTTCAAGCCATTCCACTCCATCTGTGATCAGAAGAAGATGGACCCTCACACAGTGTGTCAAAAGCGGAAAGAAACGTTATGTAAAAGCTGACATTCCTTCTTACAGAGCCGCTGCCCAGAGAAGGAAGCAACAACTCAACACGCCAGGCACCGCTACACATACAAGCCGCCTCCTCTTTTTTATGAGGTCATGACAGGAAACTCTTTGAAATACAAGATGCAGCATTTACTGAAGCCCAAATAAATCACTCTCTTTGCTGTTTTGACTGCGCAGCCCCCTGAAATACAACTGCCCATCTCAACGCTCAGAATCCAGGAGCTGCTGCCTCTCAAGGTTTAAATTCCCAGCACAGAAATGGAAAGACTCCTAACCCGGCTGCATCCACCGCCTGCCCCACAAAACCCAGGCTTGTAGACAAACCCCCTCTCCCTTTACAATGAGAAATCCCTTCTTTTGCCATTCTGGTCTCACGTAATATAACCTCTTTCAACAAACCAGCAGTTATTTCAGCCCACCTTCACCCCACCCATGCCTTTATGTTGAAGGGAAAACTGACAATGACCTGTTAAAAATGACAATCTATTTCCCCACTGCTTCTCAATAAAAGGACCTACCCGCACTCTCTACACAAAGAGACAGTAAATGTAGGAATCAAACAGCAGCAGAGAACTAAACTCTTGGTCAAGGTGTAGATGCTTTTCTTCCCTCCAGCAGCACAAACCACAGATTATAAATCTAGTCATACCTACCATAACCATTCTTATTGGCAAATATTGGGTCTCGCAGAGCTTCGACTCTTCTCTTAAAATTTGCAAAGGTTTCAGAATATATTTTTAGATGACTACTATTGTTTTATATTTTTAAAGATCCACAAAACACAATGTGGATGATTGTAAAGTAAATCAATTATTTTAGGGGGATGGGGAGAGAAACAAAAACAAAAACAAAAAAAAAAAAAGAAAGAAAGAAAAGGAGCAGTGAGCTGAAACCCCTGATTCTAGGATGTAGATAAGAACAACTGAACAGAGCCTTGCTGAAATTGGCTCGAAGCTTCCCCTTTTTACATCCATTTATGGGACCATCTGTCAGCCGAAGGCAGGATCTGATTGGCTGGGGAAACGCAGGGAGGCGTTGCAACATCAGGTGCTATTTAAATTAGCTACTGCCAGATTGACGATGTTAATGATTTGGTGACCTCTACAACAACAGAGAAGGGATTTCTGAACTGCTTCTTGTGTCTGGTAATTAAGGCTGGGCTGAAGCAACAACAGCCATACTTGTATTTTTACCTTTTCCCTCCTCCCAGCTCAAAAGTACTGTAACAACTGCAGGTCACTGGCGGCTTGTAAACCTTAACAGTGGGAGTGTCCTCCTTCTCCCCGTCCTGAGGGCTGCACCACCCCACCCCTCGGACAGAGGGCTTTTCCAGGATGGAATATTTTCTACCACCTTATCTTTCTCGACAGTTGCTTTCTAGCGAAATGCATATTTAATGATCTGCCTCTAGGCTTAAGGATACAACAAAAGCACTTCAATGTGCTCATACATCTACATTTTAACTTTATTTCCCAGCACTGCTGATTTTCAGTAAGCAATGCTCCTTCTGCAACTAACATGGCCAGTGTTTCAAAGGAATGCAAGTTTGAGAGTGTGCTTGCTCCATGAACTAGGCTCACAAAAGTTTGCTTCAGAAAACTCTTT